ACAACTTTTTCTCACCATCGCTTATTCTGATGCCTACCCCGCCCATAGTGGGCGGGGCATGCATGTAGATAAGGGCGGAGTTTCCCATGACCCAAGTCTGCCCTGTACTGCATGACTCTTGCTCTACCCATTTTGAAGTTGACCCGCCTTCCCAGATGTTCTTCCTACAACAACTACGAATTTGCGGGGAGCCCTCACAATTCGTAGTTGTTGCTGGAAAACAGACGGGGTGGACAGACGAACAAACACCAATTTGATCTCGAGTCGTGCTTTTGAAGCAGCAATTTGCAGGTAGGAGCTCGCTTTCTGGCAAGAACAAACATCTCTTTATCCTCCCTGATGACGTTCAGTATGCGTTCTTCGTCGAAGACTACGAGAAAGAGGTTAGTAGTGCATACCGTACCGGCGTGAGATACTGTAATTGAACCACTGCCTTTTCAGGGCCAGGCGCCCACAGGCGGTCCTCTGTTGGACTACCGCCGAGCAGAAGTGGTCAGCGATGTTGATCCCAATCTGGTCTATTACGAGCCTCGCCCACTCGATTTGGAAGCAAATAACGGGTAAGATATCATTGTCAATCCATTGGGAGGAATCTAGTGCTTAATGTCATTCAGCAAAGTTTCGGAGTGCGAAGATTGTTCAGGCTTTTAGAAGTGCATTTTGTTTACACCGTGGCTTGCAAAGCCCACGCCCAAAGCCTTCCCGAATTCTACTAGACTTTAGGAATTCCATAATTCTGCCCCCAGAAATAAGATCCCGCTTTACTACAAACTTCAGCTAGATAAACGGGTAATCCTGCTACAGAAATACAAACAAACAAAATTATTCGACATGTCAATAGGGCTGCAAAGTTTTCCGACGAAAAAAATCAATAATTGATCGTTCCAGGCAGATAACCTTGTCTCGAATGACTCAACGATTGTCGGATAAAGTTTTTTGCTGATGGCAAGCTTCGTCGCATTGATGAATCACAATTTGTGAAACCGTTGAAGGTATTGATTTGCTTGTCCTAAAAATCAGAATCAATCGATGCAGGGCTATTCCGTGCTTGAAAACGTGCGAGTTATTTTAGCCTATACGCGTCCATGTGGCGCGACTATTTATACTCGTGCCTGTAGAGAGTAAATAAACAATCGTTTGAACGGTACATGACTCACAATGTTTATATTTATTTTCTGATCTTCACCAATAAACAGCCTAAAAATTAACTCTACCTGAAAATACAGTGGTATTTCTTCTTTTTCTAAGTTTTTATGAAGGTCAGAATAATTTTATTTTTACAAGTGCAATAAATAAGCTGAGAGCATACCCTAACTATAGTTTCTGACAAAATATCGTTTTCGTCATTGCCATTTATGGTCAGAGACGCAGAGTGTGTCTATGACTTTGTTTCTATCATTCTGTGAGCCATCTCATTTAATCATAGAAAAGTGTGCCTTTTCTGTCATTGTTGCCTTTACACTTACCATAATATTCATAATGAAATAGCTTTTTGTAACTGCAGATTATCCAAAACGATGAGATGCTGTACAACTACGTGAAGGCGGAAGCCGTGGGAAGCCTTCGTGGACGAGATACGCGGCAGCGAGTATGTGCAATTGGACGTGTTCCTCGGTGGCATATTTTTGAAAAACATCCACTGGCTGGGGAAGAGGTAAGAGGTGGCTACAAAACAACCATGCGGGACACTGACCAAAACCCCTCGTTTCAGGACAAAATACACGTCCGACTCATTTGCCTCTACGATGAGCAATGCGAGCGTATCAACGAAATGACCGATGCACTTGATGGACGCTGAGAACGCGCCGACTAGGTTCGTTTACCCATGTCACCACGCTCAATCATGACAGGTCACCAAGCTCCGCCTACCGCTTCTCAGACTCCGCCCACGAGAGCTGCG